TCAACCTCTTCTAATGTAATTTTTAGGTACGCTCGAATTTGTATTGTTTAGAGCCTCGGTCTTTATATAAACTTTCCACATATATATATATATATATATATAGGGTGTGATTTGTATAAAGCTTAGGCTCTAAACAATCAAATTAGAGCCTACCTTTAAATAGTGTCAAGAAATGTGGTTTCATAGTGGAAATGATTATGACTTCGTTGTACAAAAAATAAATAATCTTTTTATAAAAAATCTCTTAGTATATTTGTTTCTTGTAAATAAATAGGACAGCGAGCTCAACTGGGTTATTTATTTCTTTGTTGTTAGTAGGCAAGTCGATGTTATTTACATAACTTAATTTTTTTCCTATAACCTAAGATAGTCCACATCAGGCCCCTCAATCATAGCTGTCATGTGGGATGGTAGGAAATATTGAACGGCCCTAAAAATAGGTCGGTCTAATATTCTTAACATTCGGTATCATCGAAGCTAATTAAAATAAAACAATCCGATATTTGGAGCATGAGATACTACGGCATTTGAGTTTATTCCGGAAGATATAAGTGGATGCACCAAAAGAAGGTGAAGATGACCAAGGTTCTCAATTCTTTCTCTTTCCACCCAAAGGTTCTCTATACAACCCCCCTTATTGTCTTTTTTCTTAAATTTTTTTGTCTTTTCCCCAAAAATATAAAACCTAATTTTTCGGATGTCATCATATCAAGTTATAGACTCATGCCCCATCCTAATTTAAATAGGACTTCACCCCAATTCAACGTCTGCATATAGAAAATTAGTTAATGATTCCAAATTCACATAAAACAATCCTATCAACTAAATAACCAAAATAAAAGGAAAAAAAATCCTTAATAATAAGAATTTGTGACAAATTAATATGAACATTAGTAAATAGTTAACACTGCATTTTTATTTAACTAATGCTAAATACTAAACATATTTCTCTAGATATTTACATACGCAAGCCGCACAGAGAGGTCAAAGGGGAACAATCCGAAGGGTGGAAAGAGGGGAGGAAGAACAAAGACCACACTCACTATTCTGTACAGGGGTCAGGTAGTGTACAGAGGGCTCAGTTGAGTCTGAAATATCTACCTT